AGAGAGAGAGAGAGAGAGAGATGGGAGGGCTCACCCATTGCAGGTAATTGTTGTTCTCCTCCCTGGTGGGGGGGTACTTAATATTGATGAGTGAGGAATAAAGTAGCCTGAGAGGGTAGTTGCTGCAGTCCATTCTCCCTGCTTTTGACATTATTGATGGTTTGATTGTTGTGTCCAGATCTCACACAGAAGTATACGATGTCTGAGAAAATGCAGAAAGGCTTGGGCTAGCTTTTAAAACTGAGCGGTCTGTCTCTGATTTTTGTTAGCACTGTCACAGCCACTGAAGTGTGGTTGAGATGTTACGCTGACTGCTGTTACACAGAAAAATAAGTGGGTTTCGACGCCTTCGCTTTGTTGCAGTTACTCTGTTACCGAGACTTTGACCTCTGGCTTGTGTTGCTTAAGAAAACACCCGCTTCAACAAAGGTGCACCATGACCTGAGCTGGCGGAGGTGTGTGTCAGCAAATGAAGGTGGCTCATGGAGCAATGACATAATTGGTTTAAATGTCACCCAGAAAGTAAAGATTAATCTCATACTTTGATTTACTGTTTCTGTTGACTTTGTGTGAAGCTGGTGATATCAACAGCAGCCAGTAATCACTTGCCAGGCTTTGTGCTTTCAGAACCTTTGTTTGAGCTCAAAGTGAAATTGAAAATTTACTTAAAATTCAACCTGAACAAGTTCTCAGTAGGGAAGCTGTAGTTTGCCTTCATGCTTTCACATATTTAGGAGAACACTATCACTTCCTCATGTCTTGCATTTCATTTACTACCTCTCTAATTATTTATTATGTCTTACTTAACCAGAGCTAAGAGAGATTGAAAGTTGCAAGATAAAGCTTGTGAAGCCTTAGGAATTACCTGGATTACTGACTGATTTCTCATACAGGCTGGTCTTTATGTAAATCACAAGTATAGCCAGATGAGACTTGACTAATCTAACATACAAAGACTATGATTCACTTAAGCACTAACCTTTCATGTCTTGTTTCCTCCCCCTGAGGAAGAGAACTTTTCTGTTAGCAGTTTGTCTCAGAGCGTGCCGTATCATGCCTTTTAAAAATGATAACATGGTAGAGGTAGCATCATGGTTTTGGGCTGTCCTTGGGATCTGGATGGCCTGTAGCCATTAACAGAACATTTCATTTAAAATTTATATCAAAAAATGTTCTCAGTGTAAGAACAGAGGAGCAGTTCATGACCCGGAGCTTCAAGAAGTTGGGTAACGCAGCCAGACAGTGACTCAAGTAAAACAACAGAGTGGTTCAAAAAGAAGAATTTTTGGGAAGTGATGAACAAACCGCAGTCCTGACCTAGTTGAAATTATGTAGCATGACCTAGAAAGGGAGCAAACAAATATATATGAACTGATCAGTGTAAATTCACACACATGCAGCCACTTTTCATACCTAACTCTCCTTATCAGATCTCCCAGTATACTGGTCAGAACTGCCGTTCAGCATACATCCAGTATGCAAATACCCCCTTGTGTTATCTTTGGCCACAGCACACAATGGCTATCTGTACTCTAAATGGGTTTGCATGTCAAGGGATCAAGTAATTATGGATCATTTGTGCTGGCTGGATTGAGCCCTTCAAAGAAAAGACCCACTTCCCACAACATCTGTGCAAAAGCCTGCCTTTGGTTATTATTCAACCTGTGTGCAAGTCTGTTGCCCTAAGCTGTGGTTAATAATGCTAAAGCTCAAACCTTGCTCTAATGACATGTGTTATTAAGTGTTGGTGCTTTTCTAAGGCTTCAGACACACTCATTTTCAACCTCAGACAAACAAGTGTATTAAATTAGAATCGTAAGTGGCAAGTTAAACTGATTACATGCTAGGCGCTTTGTGATTAGTAGGCTAATTTGGGTTTGGCAGGATACTATGAAAGTAGTAGCTCAGTGGGATTAAGAGGAAGGATTGTCCCTGAGGATGGAAGTGCAAAGAGCAGCAGGTTCTCCATTGATGTTGGCATTGCATTGATCTCTACCTCCTTTTTTGTGCTTGCAGACTTCCTGTTTAAGTTCCTGGTGATTGGCAGTGCTGGGACGGGGAAATCCTGTCTCCTCCACCAGTTCATTGAGAACAAGTGTAAGTTCTAAAACGCTGCATTTCTAAAGTTTAATACTGTGCAAACACATAAATGAACACGTTCACGAAATTATTGTAGTCAGTTTCACGAGTTGCATATTGACTAAACCATTAGTCTGCGGATGATCTGGAGAAAATTCTTTATTGACTGGTATGAGTCAGAGTACAATGACAGGATGATGTGGGCATTTGTCGACCCAGAATAAAACCAATCACCACAGTTCTTTGCCTCACACTGTCCTTCAGAAAGAGACAATTTTCTGTGTGGTTAAATGGAGGGAAAACATTATACTTCCTGTCGACTTTCTCTAGCTAACAATGGCCAAGTTTACACCGAGCTTGATGCTCTCATTATATTGTTAAAATTCTCCATATGAAACATTAATTCGTTTAAAATACAAATTGAAACGTCAATTCAGTTTCAGAGGGGTGGTTTAAAAAAAAAACAAACCATGTCAACACTCCTTCATGTACAGAGTCGTGCTCATGATTACATTTAATTTGATTAAGATATCTCAGGGGTCCCTGTGGATAGAGAAAGAGAGGCTGGGCAACTTGGCACTGTTAATCTAATTTGCAACTCCCTGTAGCTTATAATGTGGATATGAGGTATTTGAAAACGGCAGCAAAGGTCTTTTAAACAAGCCAAACACCAAATATTACACATGTACAGTGGGGCAAAAAAGTATTTAGTCAGCCACCGATTGTGCAAGTTCCCCCACTTAAAATGATGACAGAGGTCAGTAATTTGCACCAGAGGTACACTTC